CCCCCCCCCCCCCCCCCCCGCCTCGGCCCTTCGCATCCCACCAGCCCTCTCACCTTTACGACCGCGTCTGCTCCTTTGGGGAGCTTCGCGCCCGTGGTTATGTACGCGCACTGCCCTGTTGATACTTGTATGGAGTCCGGGTCGACTCCGGCTGTGATACGTCCGACCACCTGCATATGGGATCGAAATCGATTCCACCCGTTGGCACACATACATACACGGGACAGGGAGGACCGACAAAGATGGGTGTTGAAACGTCAGGGAAAATGGAAGAGGCGCGTGGAGGGGCGGGTGTGCCCAACTGCTGCTGCAGATGTGTGAAACGTTGGCCACGCATTTGATGGTCGGCCACGGAACACTGCTGCTGGAACGGGACGCCTATTGTACCACGAGAGAGGCACCACCAACCCTCAGGCGCTCATGGTGTTTCCCCGCAAAATTATACATTCGAAAAACAAGCTGAAACTACTCGTCGTGTCTTCTTTTGGGCATTTTTCTGGCCACCGTCCATGTCTAACAATAACAGCTCATCTTTTTTTTCCAACGGGTTAACTTCCTGCAGTACGAATGCTTCATGTTTCACGACGTCACCCCCATTCACTTTCCTCATCATCTTCTCGAGGATGCGCCTTCTAGTCTGGTAGAATTCAAATCTTCTCCAACTATTGTTCGTGCAATGCCGTCGGGTTTACATACTGCTTTTATTCTACCCTTTTCGTGCAGTCATCAGCNGGGGGGGGGGGGGGGGGATGGCAACGATCTTCGACCGTAACCGCACGCTTGAACATACACACATGCCATACAGGCATGCGGTACACACAGCAGCACGGACCTCTAGCACTCCTTCCCTATCCGAGGCCACAACGGCGTATCCATCCATGGTTGCCGCTGGGAACGGGGGCAGCGGCTCCGGAGCGGTCACGTCCACTGCCAAAACGCTCCCTGAGCCGAAAGAACCGCAACAAGAGGCGAAGAGCAGCCGAGTCAACTTGGCCGAGTTACCTTTTTGAAGGGCAAGCTGTTCACTTGTTAACTTGTTTGGGTGGGTGCATTGCACTCCACACACACGTTTTGGAATGTTTCAAGAAGTCCTCTGCTCGGTTCTACGGAAGGGAGGAGAAGTAACCATGAGTGCGATGCGGTGCACAGCCCCTCCGCTAAACAACCTGTTGGAATGCAACATTGGCGGACACACGTGACGTCTACATCGGGCTCAAAGGTAGCTTTTAATTGCTGCACGGCACGGGCGAAAGGAACTAGAAGGCAAATGAAAACAGGAACAGGTTATACACCAACCGGGTGTTTACTACAAACACGAAGCAGCAAGACTAAGCCGTGAGGCGGTGATTGTGTATGTACCAAGAGGCAGCCGGCGGCGGCGGGTACCGGACACAGCAGTTTCGACGTCATAAAAAGATTGAAAATCCGACCGCTCGCGTACGGAAAATCATGACGAAAGTCGATGGCGCACTGACCTTCGTGACTTTCGGCAAGCACCCGCTTACGAGCGCACACACCGCGCCGAACGCAACACAGCGGTTTGTGGCAAGCTGCACTCTACACCACGCTTCGAAGGAACGTGAAAGCTCGACTGCAGCAAGCCAGGGGTAAAGGGCGAGATACAAGATGGGTGGTGTGCCCCCAGCAAAGTGTTACTTGCTGCCCGCCTGGACGTTCTTCAGCATTCGCGCACCCAAGGGCGGGGAGGCCAGCCAAACACAGCTCCGAGCAAACAGTAGCTCACAGAAGCTCGCGCCTGGACAAAGCAGGAGCAACACATACTCTTCGCCACGTATGTACGCGATTATAGAGAACCGGCAGCAAGACTTGTAGTTGCACGCGGAGCTTACCCAGAGGAATGTCGGCCAGCCTGAGAGTTACCGCCTCGAGCGGAGTCGCTTGCTTCAGCACCTCTCCGATGGCTTCATCGACAGGGATCATCGGGAAAGGACTCTCCCTCTCCCGAAGCCGACCTTGCATGGCGGCGGATGGAGTCATTCGAGTGTGTCGGGCGTGTGTTGGTGTGGACTCTGCGGGTGGCTCCAAGTGAGTAGGGGCGGAGTTTAGGAGACTCACCGACCCATTTGCTTCGAGAGAACCAGCATCCGCGATAACACCCAAACCCCGGGGTCGGGGGCCGGGCCCTACATTCCAAAACAGGGCCTCCAGCCGCCCTCTGCCCACGGCGCTCAGGCGGCCAAAGGGAGAGACCGCCGCCGAGCTGACGGCTACGGTGATGTCGGCCGCTGCTGAGACCGCGCCGCTGGCGAGGTGCGCACGAGGGCAGAGAGGCTGGTATACGAGCGAAGCGCAGCACGAGATCTCCGAAGCGTCAAAAGAGATTAATCCCTGTGGGTCTACTTTTTTTTATTTTTCTTAATAAAACACTTTTTTTGTTTTGCGGCAAAAAAAAAAAGGGAGAGTGCGGGAACAGACAGCAGTAGCACAGCAGAAAAGACGTGTACGTCTGTAGACGCAACAGCTATCTCCACCCATAGGCCATGAGGGCTGCCCGCGACAGGACGGTGGACACAGACAGGATCATAGAAGGGTTGATGCGTGGTCGCGGTGCGGCCAGTAGCGCAGTTTAGGCTTGTAGACCCCGAAAGGTTCAGTCGCTAAGCCGCCTTAACTAGCCAGTCCATATTTAGTATATTCAAATGATCAGTGAAAATGATCAGTGAGAGGGCTTGTAGAGCTGTTTCTTGTACCTCTGTACTTCTCTGTCCCCTCCCCAATGTGAGCCCTGCCGGCTCACTACAGCTCCTGTTATTTTCGGCCCACAATTCCCACAAGCACGCAAGCACAACACACCAGCACACACCTACCTTTGCATCAGTGGCTCTCTAGGTTCGGGCGAGGGTATGTGTGGGGCTATGCTGATAGTGTATGTGTTACTACCTACTCTGCTGTAAATGTTGGACTCGTCTATACGGCTGCTGCTGTGTAGAATAGCCGCTGACATGATGACTGGATCTTGGGAGTGTACGATTTTCGAATTTGGAGGATATGCAGCATACCACGATATCCTGGGCTGTTTGGGCTTGAAGTGCCCCTTTTCGCTGTCCTCCTGTCTTTGCTTTTAGTGTCTTCCTAGATTCGGGCGAGGGCATGTATGTGGAGCTGTTGATGTGTGTCTCTGTGAAAGGATCCTGGGTTCCCACGTTAAATCGACACGAAAATTTTGGAATGAGATAGATTGACACCAAAAAAAGTGACGGTTGGCAAATTGACACGAAAAATGTAACGGTTGGTAAATTGACACGAAAAAATATTCCGCCGCACGTTGCCTGGCGAAGGCCAGCAGCGGCGCAGCCTCAAGTTAAAAAACATTCAACCCCAGCTGCACCGCTGCACCGCCGGGAAACCCAACGGTCGCGCTCCCTCATCACCGCACCCGACGCGGAGCGAGGGGATGGCGCGCCTTGCGCGAGGTAGAATCCGCTACGAGTGGTATGATGAGTGCATGCAGGTTCTACTGCTTGCTGTGTTGTGCGCGCTAGCTGGAGAGGAGCACATGTTCCTCGTGATGGCCATGTTTGGCGTAGCAAAGCTGGAGACATGTTTCCTCTCCACTCCCGAGAACTACACTCCGCGAACTACACTGCCCAAATCTCAACCGCCGCCAGCGGCTTCGCGCCCCTAGTACGTGCGCCCAGAGCTTCCACCAACAACTGCTGTAACCTCTCCCTTCACGGGCGGGGCACCCGACTAGCTGCTGTTGTGGTTGATGTATATCTAACTAAAGTACAACCAGGGTTCGAACAGCTGTAAGGCTGTCTGACTCTGGTTTTTCCCCCAGGATTGTAATCCCTGTGATCAGCGCTGCCCCGAGCGGTTCATCGGCTTACAGGCGGGGATATGTGTCTTCATCCTTGACGACTGGTGATGATATGTACCATGACTTTCGGGTGTGTATCCCAGACTACTTTCTCTTTCCGGAAGAAAGGCGTCAAGATGGCTCCCAGAGGGATTCGAACCTTGCTTGTACTTTTGTTAGATATACCACATGTCCACTGAGCTAAACAGTCAGCGCTAACTAAGTAGTCTAATGGGGTAAGCCTTTCTAACAAAAGATATACTCTCGGCTCGTAGCCACCCGGGTGGTCACTGGGATTTTTGAAAGTAGAAATCTCCGGGGACAGACTCCTCGCGCTGCAGGAACAGAACTAAGGGTGCTTGTCATAGTGACCATCTGGGATTCGAACCCGTGCGCGTATCACTTGTTTCTAAAGGCTTACCCCATTAGACTACAAAGTCAGCTCTGACTCTTTAGCTCAGTAGATATGTTGTATACGCTGACTGTTTAGCTCAGTGGATAATCTATGTTGTATATCTTGACAACAGAATTGTAGTTGCTGTTTGTTGTGTAGTTGGCAGTGGTGGCGCAGTTTGGGTAGATACAACACAGAGTGATCATTAGATC